CACTCTGCCTGTAGTGCCTGGGCGAGTTGCTGAAGTGTCTGGGGATGAGGGTTACAGCGTCGCACCCGGTTGTCCAGGGCATCCCACAGATGTTCGAACAGGTTTAAGTCTGGTGATCTTGAGGGCCAGGGGAGCACATTGATGTTGTGGTTCTGGAGGAAGTCTCTCGTGTGACGTGCTGTGTGGGGCCTGGCATTGTCCTGTTGAAAGAACTCCCTCTGTCGATCAATGATTGGAAGGAGGTGTGGGCGTAGGATTTCGTGACAGTATTGTTGGTTGAGCTGTCAGGTTGCCCTGGATCATCACCAAATCACTTCTCCTATGGCAGGTGATCGCTCCCCACATCATAACACTGTCTCGGCCAAATTTGTCCACCTGGGGAACGCAAGCGTTGGCAAAACGTTCACGTCGACGCCTGTACACCCGCATTCTTCCAATTTGGGTAGGTTCCAGGCCTGAACGCTGGTGCACCATTGAACTCAATGTCGACAATGTTGTTGTCAAAGCACAGGGCCAAAATAAGGTCTTCTGGCACGTAAACCAGCCTCTCTCAACCTGTTCCTGACAGTCTGTGCAGGAAGCCTCCTCAATCCGGGTATTTTTCGAGCGGTACTGATCGCTGTAGCTTTTTGATGACATAGGTGATGTACCCGGATGTAGCAACCCTGCGCCGAAGTGGTCGCTCGAGGCTGCCCACTATGAGGGGAATCTGCTACCGCTTTCTGCCGGCGATATCTCTCCCAGAGCCGTGAAATGGTGCTTTGGTGAACATTCATGCATCGGGCAACTGCATGTTGAGACTGGCCAGCTTCAAGCAAACCAATGGCGATATGACGGTTGGCTTCACTTAGACGTGGCATTTTGCGTTTGTCAACAATACTCCCAATACAGTGAATAATGGACAGACAGTGATCAACCTTTTATACCCATCATTGAGACTATCTGATACCCAACTTTCACGTGCATTGCATATGAATTGTGTATTCTGCGACACTACACTCCGAAATGGAAAATCATGCTGTTAAATACGGGTATTTTACAGATGGTGCGTTTTGTTGTGATGATTCATAAACAGAGCAAAACATTTTGTAAAATGAATCACGTTTTAATTCATTGCCACATGAAATTGCTATTTTCATGATGCGTTTCTTGTTTGGGAGAGTATATATATATATATGAGGATATATTTCTAATTGCATCGTCTGTGGTTGCGGTGGTTGTTGCTTGTTATTATTATAACACCGCCGCCACCGACGCTTAATCCCGTTGCTGCAACTATCCACAGAGTATTATTATTATTTTTGTGTTGCTTGGCTAAACCACCTTTTCTACCGGCGGCGACTTTTTTAGGATTCTTGGTGACTAGTCGTATCGGTGTCGTCATCGTCGCTTCCACCTCCGTCGACGTTGTCGTTTCCTCCTGGTGCGCATCCATGTTGCTGTATATTATTATCATTATTATTGCTTTACTCTTTAAATCGACAATGCTTTGCCGTGATGATCGCAGTGGTCACTGGAGCTAAAAACATGCCGTATCTGTGGTACAGCACGCAGCTGACAGCGCTTGAAGTGTAGTGGATGAACGGATCTTTCTTGATATCTTCCCACAGGTAAAGTCGACGTTCCGGCGCAATTGGAAGGAAGTATGACGCTAAGCCGGCGTAGACTTGCGTTATGACAGACCCTATGGTTTTTGTCATTTTGGCGCCGAGTCTGGCTTCGTCTCTCGCGTACAGCTTGTCAATTTCTTCTGTTGGCATTTTGTGAATCTTATCGGGAGTGTGGTCACTCCCACCCAAGTATTGTTTGGCATTTGCCGCAGACCGCCAGCACCACTAGTTTCTCTCACTGGTCATTTTTATTATTATTGTCATCATCCAACATTTGTTTGAGGAGTTCGTCGCACTCCATCTTATAATGTAACCAGTGATTTTTAAGTCTAATAAAATAAAATGCGATGCACGCGAAACACAGCAACATTTGCTTAAGTTATGCTAGAATATTGCTAGCAGACTTTATACGCCACGGGTTGGTCGGTTTTCAGCAAGAGCTTCGTGTGTTTTGTTTCGGCGAGCAGCTTCTTCACTCGTTCTTATTTGGTCGGGATGACGTCGTTTTCTTGCAAGCACTCCTCGAACGAATCCCTGTCCTTGCAGTGAAACAGGGCGACCCATCGCATCTGTTCCCGTAAATCTTTAACCACCGGGTTGAATTTCTGAGTCAGCACCCAAACGCTTTGCTTCGTGTGTCGGCCCAAGAAGGCCAGGTACGACAGCGCGTCTCGTTTTTCAACCATCTCCTTGTTGGTGCTGCAGTCGTCCAGGATGAACAGCGTCGATTCTCCTTTCAGCTTGTGGTGGTAAGCGCGCAACCAGTCCTGCAGACGAGTTCCAGGATCGATTCTGTGCACATCCGGGTCCGTCAGAACATATGGTCTCTCCGTGTACGTCTTATTCACCCATTAAGTCGGGCAGAGAATGACGATGTGGTCGTACACGTCGGGATAGTTTCTTTCCAACCTGTCCAGCACAAATGCAGTCTTGCCGCACCCCATCTGACCGCACACGATGGGGCAGGGGGGATAGTGAGGTAAATAAATAAATGGCTTGCACGAATCTTCCATCTTGTGTTCCGGCGAGTGTTGCTTGATGGCCAGTAGTTTTTTTATCTCGTCCCACTGCTGGTAAGCTCGCATGCCTTGGCTGAACAACTTGTTGGGAACGCCCTCGATGGTCACTTCCACTTTCGTGATCTCAGGATTCCAAGTGAGTTTGCTGTCTCTTCAAAATAATTCGCATTCCGCAACAGGAATGATCAAGATGCCTTTAATCGATCCAGCCGGCACGTTCAGGTTGATGTTCCACAACATGTCACTCTTGTTCTTGACGGCCGGTCGGCCGGTGTCGCAGTACGCGGTTGTACAGGATGGACAGCTTTCCCGAGTACTGGTTGCGAATCTGCAGGGCCAGTTCCATGCTCGTGACGATGTCGAACTCCAGCGAGATGTTGTTGACAATGTAGCTGCCCTCCATGTCGTCCGGCGTGAAGATGACTTTGCCGTAGTCGTTGAACGTGACTTCATATTCTAGCCTGTTGCCCAGCGCAGCCTGGTAAAACGGCATGTGCCCCTCAAGCAGCTCGAACGCGAGCGGTATGCAAAACCAATTTCCGTACACCTTGGCGGTGGCTTTTTCTCCTGTTGTTATTTGCCCGAGCTGGTCTCACACGTAAACTTTTCCCACACGTAGGTCGTTCAATACGTCGTTATTCCTTCTTATTCCTTGCTACAACATGTCATTGTGTTCGTTTGAGGTTCTCCAGAGGTCCATGTAACAGTGAAACACGTCGCTGTCGTCGATGCTCAGCACCTCATTCCCGCTGATTTTTATGGTGGTTTTCTTGACGATGGCATAACCCAGGTTGTTCACGATCGTGCATTTGTCGTTCGTGGACTCCAGTGTAATCTGAAAAGCCAGTCGGGCCGTGCCGGGAACTATGACGTCGTTTGTGGGCAGGTTGGGGAATCAGACCAGCAGCGATTGGTTTTGAACGATCGTGCTCGGATTGTTGGTGATGGTCACCGACTGACGCATGGCTTTGACACCGAGTGGCTCTCTTGATTTTTGGAAAGGATCTAGCTTTCGTCCGTAATGCGACATTGTTTATATTGAACCTATGTACATTTTTAGTTTAATATATTAAAAAAATGGCTGATGATATTCCCATGGCCGATTTAGAATTACACCAGCTGAACAATGACGATGATGTAGCAGACACCTCGTTCATGGGGGACACCGTGGGCAACGAGCTTTTAAAGCAGGCCGTGGATGAATATTATGATGCTTGAAAGTGCAATAAAAATTACGTCAAACCATTGGGTTGCGACTATCCGAAGTTCAAAATCGCCAACGAAGGTACACTGCGATTGAAAGCTCATCCGGAGGTTGATCTCATGAACAAACACACGAGAAAACCGCTCGCCCTGTCAACGCTAGCCAGTTGCCGTAGCGGTAGTCAACTGATACGCGGCGAACTAAACCTGCGAGATTACGGCGGCGGCACACGACCCAAACAACTTCCGTCAAAGGTGGTTTCGAATTTCCCGCTAGGGAACTTCGAGGTCCAGACGAAGCCTTGAAAAACGTGTGCGGAGAACTCATGAACAACATGAGTAAACTGAACGCAATCGACCAGCACATCGCTCGTGAGAAAAGAAAACTCGTCCACGACGATGAAGCCACGAAAAACATCGAGAAAAGATTGCGCGACCTGGAAGACGAGAGTCGGACAAGATTGGAAGCCACTTCCTCCAAACGGGAAGCCCTCCAATCAGACGCGTGCGCGAAACCATCGACCGAGTCTTGAAGGAGGACACCACATTGGCTGACAGGATACGAATTCTGTTCCAGGAACAAGGAATCACCATCGCCAGCATTCTTACGGCTTTGGGCTTCATCGTATTGACCCACCAAGCCCAACACCAAGTCCATCAGGCGATTTCAGAGACTGGATAAAAAACATTTGAAATCTCTCGGCGAAGCCCTGGCTAAACTGGCTGGCAAAGCCGCCAAAGCGCTGCCTGGCATCTTGGGTAGCATCATTTCCTGGTTGTTAGGCTTCTTGTCGAAAATGGTCACGCGGCTCGGTCAAAACCTGTGAGCTTTCGTCGTCGTCATGGTGGGTCTGGTGTACGTAGCGGCTAAGGAATTTTTAACCAAATGAGGCACAGTCCGACTGCAATCCCACCGACCACCAACGCCATTTTGCGATTGACGTGTCGCTTATTGTTTGCCTGCATGTGCGGTGGCAGCTGCTGTTGTCGTAGTGGTGCTACTTCTACTTCTCGTGTCGGGTGCCATGATGCCCATTTCGTACGTCCTGGTTCAAGTCCAACTTTTGATAAGCTTTCGCGATGACGATTGTTGTTGTAACCCACCACTCTGTTCATCCTCAGTCGCATGTCGCTCAGAGCCATGTACAGTCTCGCGCCGAACACGTAGTCGACTTTTGACTCGTCGTATTCCAGCGCGTTTTCATAGCATTCGATGGCACTCGGTAGATCGACCGGTCTAGCAATGGAATCCTCGATGTTAGCCACAAACTGTTTCTGCGCGTCGTAAGCTGTCCCTTCACGACCCAGGATGCTGGAACGCATTTGCGTCTGAGCACCTAGCACGGCCCACACGTACGTTTGAATCGAATCATTCAACCTGATGACACCCTCACGACAAAACCCTTTCGAAGTGTCCAGCATGAACATTTCAATTGATTTCCAATCGTCCGTGGGTCCCTGCTCAAACCTCCAAACGCTGTAATCTTTGCTGTCATTGAAAGCCATAGAATCGTTGTTCCACTCGTTTGTCTTGACTTGTAACCCCAATCTTTCACTAGCTGTTTGCTGGCTTCTGCGAGAGACATGTTGTGAAAGATGGGAATGCCCAAACCGTGGTTCGGACCTGGCAATCGACCATCTTTGGATCTAGTTCGAATTCATCGCAAAGGCGTTTGTACGCACGTTGATCGTACGGATCGTTTACGGCATTCCACGCCTTGTCCTGCGGAATAGGGGTGCTGATTTTTTTCAAAATACGTCTGATCTGGTAGAACACGTGAAAATAGATCATGGACTGACTCAGTGGACCACGACGAGTGTTGTTCAACGTCATACCGCAACCCGTTGTCGAGCACCGCATGGCAAAATTGAATTGATTCTGCCTAAAATTGCATCGGGTTGTCGAACCAAGCGTGTACCGTTTTCACATTAGTGACTGAAAACCCGTAAATTTTAAACACATCGATAAACCGAATAATGAAATGTAAACCATTCTTTGCATTGACCACAATAGTCGGTTGCGTGAGATCGATATTATCGCTTTTAGCATAAAACACTCCAGGTTTGTACATATTTTTTGTATATAGTATACATATCTACTTTTCAATATGTACATGACACTTCTGTGAATCACGAGCGGCGAGTCCGTTCAACTGCTGCACGCCATCAATAATACGTCCGGTCAGCTCAAATTCACGTTCTGCGACATCACCTACTACCCACGATGTTTGAATATCAGTAAATCTATAGGAAACAACAGGATATTCATCGATGGAATTCGCCACGATTTGTCCGATGGTTATTACAGCATTTGCATGCTAAACCTGATCTTGTTCCGTATCGCATTCATCTCGATCAGGTGAGCACGACAGACAACTTTCAAGGCGAACGACCTTCCACCCTGATGAGAGCCGTGCCGGTGAAAACGGAAAAGTACAATGACGGCAGAACCGAATCGTTTTTTTGTCGCGGCAGTACAAGTAATTAATCAGAGGCAACATCACGGAATTAAAAATATTGGTCTTAGACATTAAACACTATCCCATAAGTATAGGATATCTCAGCGCGACGCTGCACATACGACAATGACAGAGTCTCATGGTACTGGAACATGCGTTAGAAAATGTGCCAACATAGCGATCTCTGACATCGGGACATGCGCGGATTCGACGAAGCTGGAATCGACGGCAAACTGTACGCCTTGAAACTGAAAAACAGCATTTACAAACGCCTTGAACTGCCGCCCTCTACTGCCGCCGCTGGTGGTGGCAACAACCTAGGGGATTTCGTTGATACCGAAGGAGTGGTAAACAACACTCGGTACGACCTGATATGGAACGACGAGGACGAATGGACGAATACCCTAGCCTTTCACGGCAGGTTGTTCAACCTGGACGATGTCGAGACCACGGCCGTCTCCAGAAACACGCAGCACACTCTCATCTTCAACCACGACAACAAATGGGTATTAGTGCCATCCCAAATCGACTGGAATCTCAACATCACGCTCAACTCTGCACGCGTTTTCACGGACAACAAAGATCACTACCTGACGAAAGTCGTGAACAACGGAACGCTGCTTGTGGCTTATTTCCCTATGCAAAGACGCAGCGTGATCGTCCGCACGTTGAGGCAAAGAGTAGCCGACATGCTGTCGAGCAAACCCGGGACGCAAAACGTGGGATTGCAGATGGTGTCGGAATTCAACAGCATGGTATCGGTCCTGGAAAATATGCCGGCGAAATCCACGCTCTGCATCCAAGTCTACCACCGTCAGCGAGTGACTTCATCAAAATCTTGAAAGGGATCAAACTCTTGTGGGCTAAACAACAACAATACCAAGTTTGCTCTGTTTACGTGAGGGTGAACGTTAACGCCTACACCAGTCTACAGGGAGTCACTGTGGCTGTGGAAGACATGATATCGCTCACCGAAATCTTCCTACACGACAACATATATCTCATGGGTTTGAAGTGCACGTCCGAGGAATTATCCAATAACCAATTGAAAACCATTTCGTAATACATCATATATAAACGAGGTAAACCATCATCATCTCAACGTAACGCTAGCTCTTACAGGACAACGTGTACAAACAACGAGAAGTCATCATCGAAGTTTTTTTTAGAGATACCCCGCACAAAAGGTGCAACTTCTGGATGCGTTATACATACGCTGGTACAAACGACATGAAAATCAACGCTGTCGTATTTATGTACAACCAGGAACAGTCCCCACCAGAAACCTCGATAGAGTCAAGGTTATTCAGGATGGATACACCATTACATTCGAGGCCATTTTTTCAATCGAACATTTTCATTTTATTAGCTGAAAGTATATTCACCGACGATTAACGGAGGACCAATTAAATACTATTTAATAAAAAAGAGAATATATACAGAATGGGACTGTACCCAGTCATGGATGAAGTGGCAAAAAACACGGGAAACCGTATATGGGTTCCATTTGTGACAGATATGTGAGATCAGACAACAACTAGAACGTGAACGCGATACACGGTCGGCATAACAGAAAATATATCACAGGGCCGTCAATTCCGTGGACGGTGTTTACAGTGCTTTGATTTCAGTCAGCATGGGATTAGACGTAGCAGGTATTGGGCTATTATCCACCATCGTGGCCGCACCCGTGGTGCAAGGCATCGAAAAAACAGCCAGAGTGACAGGGTTGATGGGATTGGCGCTTAAGTTCGTGTCTCGCAGACTGCAACGTAAAGCATTGAAACATGACGAAATTAGAAATCTAGCCGAAGCGAAGTTAAACACAATAGACGATCATATTTCCACAGAGCTCACGGACTCTAAAATCTCCGAAGAAGAGTTTTGTTTGGTGCTATCAGAAATCGCAAAATATCACAGAATGAAACAAGATATTAGGGCCAAGTCTCTCAAAAGCGCCGTCATTTGCGAAGACGAGAAAAGAAATTTCATAGAACAAGGAAAGCAACAGGCCCGACAAGCCTTCATTACGACAACCAAACAAATCATAGGAGATTCACAATAAACTTTTTCACAGACATCAACGTAACGTAGCCAGCCAGGCTGAGGCGACTCCCGGGAGGAATGCCCGGGGTCTTTTTTCAACATTGAATAATTACCCGGTTGCTATTGAAAAATAACCCGGGTCACGTATTGAAAAGATACCCTCGTTGAATAATGACCCTCGCTGTTTCCAACGCTGTAAACGTACGAAGCCAACTGAAACACCCTTTATTAGCTTTCTACCCATCTACTTATTTATGTATATTTCTAGCAATATAACTTAATTATAGATTCGTGTTTGTGTTTTAATATGGTCTCTCTCAATTCCGTGTGGAATGGCTAGTGTACACATATTTATGGTTTTATCAAAATGTTTTGTTCAAAATGCTGTACATACGGAGAGACCGAAATAAATCATTTGTTGGACGACTGTGCCTGTCATTGATAGACGCCACAGATCCAGATGGGAACATCCAAATCTTTGATATCGTGCCGATGCACGTCCGTATAAAAATGTTACACATTTCAAAAGAGTATAACACTGATAAAGGCATTGCATTTCAACACTCTTAATCAACGTGGAAGAACAAGAAATCAAGGATATCTAAGATTTCAAAAGCAGTAGGAACTACCCAAAGTGGGCGTCTAAAAATCAAACTTTCAAACTTTCGGCAAAAATGTGAAAAATTCAATCTGGATAACAACAACCTGTTTTTCAAAAAGAAAATCCGGACTGTGAGTCCCTCACAAGGCAGATGTGCCAGTGTCCCTATTTCTTGAAACAAACTTAAGTTTTAACTCAAATTTCAAACTGAGTTTGACAATTTGAAACAGCTGAATTTTTAACTCAACTGCATTTTTGAAATAACCACCCCCTAATCAACTTAAGTAATCTATCCACCAAACTCAAATTCTCTACTATGTTTGAGTTTTATATCGATTTCAGTTCATTCTGGGAAATACATTTTCTCAAATTTGAGTAAAAACTCTAACTTAAGTCAAAACTCAGACTTAAGTTTGCTTTGAGAAATCGGGCCCAAAGAGCGTCCATCAGGAAATGGGGGCACACCTTGGTGTAAATAAAACGTAAGTATACACGCTATTTTAAATGCAAAATCTACTGATATTCTAATGTAGCTGCGGTTTTATTTTATTTGACCTTTTCACGCGTTTAAGTATATATATGAATCCGCTATTACCTGTCCACTAAGGCGTATATAGAACATAAAACTTGATAGCAACGTTAGTTTTCGTACAACATAAATTTCCTTTGAATTATACCGAGAACAAAAACTTAAACGACACTAACACTTCCAAAAAGGTGAAAAGCCGTGATTGATGAACGTGGATTTTATACGTCATTGACAGACCTATGGCTACATTCCTTCTCTCCTATGATATTGTTCTGTTTTGATCCGATATCCTATAGGTGACTGACGGTGATAGTGTTTTTTGTTGTTGTCATGGCTATAAAAACATACATTTCTCAATATTCAGTGTTATCCTAATGAAACTGCAATAATTTTATTTTATTGCTTTTGTGTGCCGTAAAAAATCATCTCTAAGCAATTATGTTGTTTTCTTTCACAAAGCTCTCTTCACTTTGTTCCTTCACCACAACCAGACATCTCATCCCACAACATTACACCCACCTTTATAACCATATATCCCCCACCCCAACAACACATAACGCCTGGACATCCCCAACCCTACAAGCATACACCCCAACCCTACATCGCACGTCCGCATATCCCCCACACAACCATACCCCCTCCCCAACAATCAAAAAAAATACCCCACACCCACCCCCACCCACAATCATACATCCCCCCCCCACAACCACTTATCTCCACCCCAATAACCAGACATCCCACCCCTGCACATTCCAACCCCCACAACCATATATCCCCAACAAACAAATAATCAATCAAATTGGATATGTGTATAGCGCTACATATGCAGAGTCCTGCTCATGGGCACTTAGTCGAATGCTCGTTTGAAGAGGATCGGAAACAGTTGATATTTTCCAATTTTCTGACATTTTCAGGTAGTCCATTCCAGACTACAGCACCAGCTCAGTGATTTGAATCCATGTGATAAAACATATGAGAAATGGTACATCTCCAGGTATTAATAACGTCCTTATAGAAATGATTAAAACAAGTGAATCTAAAATAATGCCCTTTTGAGTAGCAATGTTCAATAAAATATTTTAAATGGTTGTTTCACACAAATGTGGAGTAGAGCAATTATAGTTCCTTTACCCAGCTCACACGGGAAAATATATACTTGTGTTTTAAATGAAAGACTAACAAAATGGGCAAATGTTATGGATAAAGCTTCTGAAACTCAAGCTGGTTTTCGGAAGGGCTATTCAGTTGTTTACCATATCTTCACATTGTATGCTATCATCGAGAAAAATCTGTGTAGAAGAAGGTTTTATAAAAGCTTTTGGTTTTGTAAATACAGATAAACTCTGGAAATTGCTTTCATCATACGGCGTAAACCAAAGTTGCGAGCTCTTATGAGTTTATATAAAACAGTGAAATCGTGTGTCAGAGTTCAATCCGAGTTAACGGTACATTTGGTTTACGGCAGGGTTGTATGTTGAGTCCAATGTTATCTTCATTGTTTATAAATGAACTTCCTGTAGAAATCACAAATTATGGTAAACATGGAAACCAATTGTTTCCAGATGTACTTGAAATTCTAATGTTGTTATTTGCGGATGATGTAATTCTTGTGTCAGATACTATTGGTGGTCTTCAGTGCCAGTTAGACACTTTAAAATCGTATGCAGATAACTGGTGATTAACTGTAAATTTAGATAAAACTAAAAATCTTGTTTTTAGGAGAGGTGGGGAATTAGCGGTTAAGGAAAACTCGCTTTATGATCAGAGAAACATTGAAGCGGTAAACTGCTACAAATATCTAGGGTTTGTTTTCGCTTGTAATTGTAGTCTTAGACAAGTTGTCTCAGAGCTTGCAGCTCGTAGTAAGAAGGCTCAAATGGAATTAGCTATAAACTTAAAGGTCACATGCAACCAAAAAATCAAACATAGTTAAAACAAAAGTATCACTTATTCATCACATATAATAAAAATTGCTGATTATGAAAAAAACATATAAACAAAATTATAAGCGTACAATCGCAAATCAAAAGTGCAATATTTTGTATTTGGGTTTACTTCCCAAGAAACGAAGCAGCCGGGACACCGAACCCAGTCAGAGCGGGTGGGTGTGCACTCAAGTGTAACGGCTGGTTCAACATTTGCAGATGCCCTCACGGCTCATTGTGTGTGTATGTATAGAGATGTTGGGTTTTGTAAATACATGCACAGTTTTTGTGTATAACATTTTGCATTCAATAGACATCATAACATGTCATGTATTCAAGTATCACACCTGCCTGTTTGTGTAATTACATAATGTGACAGAGACCGAACTCGGGCCATAAATCAATGCGATGTGTTTATGGTGTATAGCCTGATAGGTGTTCAAATTGCATGTGGTCAGTGATCGAAGTTGTGTATTGAATATTGTCATTAGCAGACGGGCAGGCAGACACATAGGTGTCAGTAAAACAGACATTGTGTTTTGTCTGTGACAACGACATATCTATATCACAGTTAGAAATTCTGTCAGGGCTAAATAATGACACTGCTTTTAAGTATCGAACTGAGAAAGTGACTCGGTAAGAAGAACGTGTGGTGAAATTATATAAACAGTTAACTCGGTAATCTACTGTCATAACATAAAAAGCTCGCGCCTGTGAAATATCAACAAAACATTAAAAAAATAGCTCACACCAAAGCCTTCACCGAGTATTCACCGGACAACCCCCTTCCAAGCTGTGCGAACCTATTTCACTGCGCATGTGACTATGACCGCAGCCCAGCGCAGCGCAGCCCAGCTGTTGAAACCGCTTTTTCCCCCAAGCGCTGGGGGAAAATTAGTGAATCGATTTCGCTAGTTTTTTTTCATCGCGTTATTTTTCAACTTGATAAGTTGAATTTGCAGTTTTGATGATTTGTTCTGGTAAGTCCATACCGAAAGGTATCAGAATCTGCAAAGTTGTGTTTTACGTTGCATGTGATCTTTAAGGAAATTATGACCAATACCTATGAAAGTATTTATATTAATATTTGACAGCCAAATTCAGCCAATATGTTTGTACGTGTCAGAAGCTTGGGGGGTTAAAATCCGATAGCACTGAAAACAATTTACTTACAAGGATGTAAAATGTTTTTAAATGTCGGTCCACAGACACCAAATGCAATAGTATATGGAGAATGTTGACGGTTTCCAGTTTATATTAATTCCTACGTTCGAACGATGAAATATTGGCTTAAGGTAATGACATACGGTATGCAACATTCAAGGAACGCTGACAAAGTTACTTCTGTCATACATTATAAAACGTGCAACATACTACTGGTCCATTTTCAACAGTACAAAAGTACTCTCGCCATGATACAATTAATCAAAGAGACACAGACCTACAATAACACAACTATATCAGAAACAGTTGTGCCACGGCACTGTAGTTCACGGAAGCGTGCTTAGCGCAACGAGAGAGGTCAGAACGAAAAACACAGCCAAATCCGTAACATGATATGCATGCGTTACGCATTGCTATTTAACAAATTCCAGCTGAATCGGTGCGAAAATGAGCCACTAATGACACAAGATGGCAATTTTATAATGGAGGTAAAATGCGATGCACAGCAAAACCCACACTTTATTTGTTGATTCTTACTATTCAGTACCTACATAGTAAATTTCAAATGTTCAGCTTCATCACTCAAGTAGATAGTAGTTTCAGAGAACATGTTTTAAAGATATAACTGAAATTAAAGGCCGTGTCGAATAACAGGTCAAACAGAGGTAAAATGGCGAAGTAAAGCAAATGTGTTGAGTTTGCTATCTGGCACAGATATATCACCTTTCAGCTGATTCACTGCAGAAATTGGGGACTAAAGAGCGAAAATGTCATTTTCAGTATATGGCTGCTGTAGTCGCCATATCTGAAATTGGATCGGAATGCATCTAACAACCTTTGGTGTCCTCTTGGTTTGGATCATGTATGTCAAGTTTCAGCCTCATCGGCTAAGTAGTTTCGGAAATGATGTTTACAGATGTCGCACGACGACGGACATACAGCCAACGACATAAGCTCATCTGAACCAATGTGCGAAATAGTTTCCAAATTGAACTTACCAATGCCTGAAAGTTTCTAGCCCACAAAATTTATCACTAGCCCGAAATTTGAATGTAGACACGGGTTTCATCATTAAGCTGCCAATATGATGAACATTTTTTTATCAGGCCATAATCTTGCATGATTTAAAAGTATATTATAAGTTAACATGTCGAAGAGAATTATATGTTTTCAAATCACCCCATGAAAGTTCACTTGCCAGTCGGCCCAGTGAATGTTGAGAATTTACTGGAATATTACTAGCCACGGACTACCGGACCAGTGGCTATTTCGCACATTGCATCAAACCACAGATGTCCGGTACGTTGCATACGCGTATATATCTTAACATATGCATCTTACTTGACAGTGTAGAAACAGCGAGGGTCATTATTCAACGAGGGTATCTTTTCAATACGTGATCCGGGTTTATTTTCAATAGCAGCCGGGTAAATATTCGATGTTGAAAAAAGACCCCGGGAGTTGAAAAGTGAGTCCGGGTAATAATTCAATGTTGAAAAAGTACCCGCCGGGTACCTTTTCAACGCGGGTGTGTTTTCGATTTCAATCTTGCACCGGCCGTGCATCATAGCCGAGCCGAGACACACACACACACACACACACTTATACAGCTCAGAACAACCTTCGAGACGGTAGCGAGGTGATACCTACGTTTCGTTTACCTCAGACAGCTAACACAGTCCCGTACACATCGCCCACCGTGTGAGGATAGTTTCTCATCATGTTTTTTATCAGTCTTGCATGTTTATTTTCTGCTTAATGTAGCCATACAGTAAGCCATCCGTACACCAAGTTGAGAGACATACACACACACACACACACACACACACACACACACACACACACACACACACACACACACACACACACACACACCACACACACACACTCGTCCATCCACAGAAACCTCGAGATACCTGCATTTCATTCACATCGCTACAAGTACGTCCTTGCGAGATGGTAGCAAGGCAGATCTGAGGAACTACAGATAGCTGTGTTTCATTCAGATAAAAACACCTCTCGCCTCTCTAAAATATAACAAGTACGACAATACGTTGGATTGTTAGCCTTTCGCCAGACCGCCCACATGCTCACTAAAAAGTAATTATTTCCTAAACTATTTGACCGATTTTCGTGACATTTTGCATGCATCTTGGCAGATGGTTACGCTATAGCAAAATCGACATTGGGAAAACTCTCGTTGACTTCATTAGATTAATAAAGACTTAATTACGACAAGAAGTTGAACATTTTACCTTTTTCCTGCCGACCCCAGGCTCACTTAAAAGTCAATATTTCAGAAACTATGTGACCGATTTTCGTCAAATTTTGCATGCAACTCAGTAGTAGTATATACAATGATGGTACGGGATTAGGGCCTCTCCAAGGGCTCAATTTTTATATTGAGCCCTTGGGGGGCCCTGGTCCCGTACCATCATTGTATAAACTACTTTGTAAGATTTTTCTTATTGTCACTTTGCATCATAAGTCCCCAAACATTTTCTATTGGATTTAGGTCAGGGCTATAGCTTGGCCAATCTAATAATGTCATATTTTGGGTCCGAAACCAGGCCTGTGAATGCTTTGAACGATGTTTTGGGCCGTTGTCCTGCTGGAAAATACAAAAATTTCCATAAAACACGTGAGCAGATGGAAGTAAATGTCCCTCGAGAATATCTGTGTATCGCTCACTGTTCATATTCCCTTCAAATACACAGAGGGGCGTTGACCCTAACACAGATATGCCACCCCATACAATAAATTTCGGACTGTTCTTTGGGCACTGGTACAAAGGATTTTTAGTTTGTTTGGTCTAGAATTTCAGTGTATTAGGAAACAGCCACAAAGAACTTTCATCTGAGAAAATCACATTGTCCCAGTTAAAATTTCTATGCTGTAAGCACCAGTTCAACCTTCGCTCCTTTTGTTCAGCTTTCATGATCGGTGATGGAATTCCTAGACTTTTCTGCCAACCTATTTCATGCAGCTTAGGTCTAATAGTCTCTTTACAGACAGCCACAGTTCCTCTATCAATCATATCCAGCCTTAAGTTTTCTAAACTCCTTCGTTTGTTTTTAGAAACAAGAATACCAAGCCGCCTCCTGTCACCGACAGTCAATTTTCTGGGCCTACCTGCGCCTCCCTGGTGCTCAATGCCATATCCATTTGCAATATTTTCAAAACACGATAAACAATTGACAAAGGGATGTGTGTTCTACTTGAAATCACTTTAGCTGATCTGATGTCCTTGTTATAATACTCTAAAATAAACTTCCTCTTCTCTAAATCATCCATACTGAGGATCACTGAAAATGTCGCCTGCTAGCAAGTACAAAAAGGGGGATAACTCTTCACAAACTAATGAAAACGGATTAAAGGATTTGTCTCTCTTGAATGAAACCAAGCACTTGATAGCTGGTCAAGGTTGTTTATACTAGAAATCCAGTGAAACATATTCCTAAAATTCTCAATAATTTCTGGTCAAACTATAAATGTAATGAAGTAAAATCGTTTTGACCAAGCGTTTAAATATATATTAACAGTCAGATATTTAAGCTAACGAAATGTGTTCATTATAAACATATCAAAGAGTGGGGTAGTGTGAGCAGATTTTGGTCGGCCATTTTGATTTATGACGTCACATAGGTGTGACCATTGTGTGAACTAATCGACTGTTGAACCCTTAAGCCCCACCCTCCTTCGGGAGTCCCCTTTCGAGCCAGGTGTGTGTGACCTTCAAGTTCACCTTAGTGGTCTGTGATTATTATTCAAATATATTATGAGTGGTATGAGTTTGCCGACTCGAGTGTTCACCAGCAAAATCTTTTATCAACGTAGAATTAATATCACACTCTGCATATGAGGTAAAATTAGCTGCAATTTATTAGGTCAAAAAGTTGAAATGTCAGAGCTCATTTTGTTAAATCAAAGGTATCCCACTAGCCAGTTTAAAATACGCTGTCATTTGGTACAGAAGGAACAACTATAAAGTTCTGAGTATACATTTTACATATGTGTGAACAATAAACGATTGTAGCTGTTATCAAATAAAATTCATGCGCCATTTGGGCCCCGTATAACTGAAGAGACATGTGACAGCTGTGATTGGATGAAATTGTGTAAGGTGTTATGTTTGTTAAAAGCACCTCCATCCAGTCATCAAAACTGACCACCATTTTAAGTATTTAATACTGTCATTTGTATCACTTATGCTTATGCATGTACTGATATGTTCAAGTAAGTGACAGTTTGTGCGGACCTGAGGGGTTGTGTTCAGCTACCTGTGTGTGGCTTCCTGTGCTCGCAAAGTTAGCCGGTTCAAGTTGACCCGAAATTGTTTTATTGTAATTTATAGGTCAGACTCCAATCATGTGTACATTGAATAGTCGTTGATAATGTTCAGCGTGGTGGCGAATGTAGTGTCACAAATGGTCAGCTTCAGTTATTTAAAGGTCAGACTGTAATCATGTGTACATGGAATGGTCGTTGATAATGTTCAGCGTGGTGGCGAATGCAGTGTCACAAATGGTCAGCTTCCGCTACGTAGGGAGAGAAGTGTCTGACCGGAATTAAAGACAGGAAAAAGTAAGCCGTTGAGGACTGAGGGTGTCAAGTGGTTGTACAGTGATGAAATGATTTAGCATTTGTCATATATTTTACTGAATAAGAAAACAAACCTATATGTGTCCTCTTGTAAAACTTTCCAGTGCTTTTACTCAAAATTTTAAAGCTGAACTTTACTCTATAATTGCGAACATAACACACACACACACACACACACACACCCATCTTATGTCCATGAGTACTATATATGACACTTTTTTGTGACATCATGTGACACATAGGTTACTCACATGCCGTTAGCCACTCTTATTCCACAGACAGTACAATGAAATACTGGTGGAAGCTTCTTGTGACTGTATTGTGTGGGGTATGAAGAGGTTGGGACCTCCTGGTGTCAAGAATTGTTTTGTAGGTTAAATGTATTCAGTGACATAGGGAGGATTATTTATCAGTTGTAAAACAAAGATTTGTACAATGAACAGTTGTCTCATGTCAATCCTCCAGCAATGCATTCTATGAGTGAGTGAGTTTAGTTTTATCTTGCACCCAGCTATATGGTCTGTAAATAATTGAGTCTGGACCAGATAATCCAGTGATCAACAGCATGAGCATCGATCTACCCAATTGGGTTATGATGATGAGATGTGTCAACCATGCCAGTGAGCCTCACCACCCGATCCCGTTAGTTGCCTCTTACGACAAGCATGGGTTACTGAAGGTTATTCTAACCCGGACCTTCACGGGTATAATACATTAAGAAACAAGAAAGCATATGAATATACCAAGAAAACATTGACAATTCATCCCCTAAAGTTGCGTTTATTGACAACCTGCATTAATTTTCTCTTAAAATTCTGAGTGGCAATTGTCCTCACTTTTGTTGTACGTCTCACATAAATCGCTGGGCGATTCGTTGTTCATACATGCTTTGATGTGTACATTGTTAATGGCTGAAAACAGATGTAAAACAAGTGAGACTGTAATAAATAATCTGTCTGTCAGTCTGACTGACTATTATAGTAAAAATAACCGGGTGGCAATTTTCCTGGGTAGCAACTGCCTCCAGGTCCCTCACGATACGATACGTATCTCATACTGAGGTCACGTACCAAAGCTCACAGTCACTAAATGTTTTGGTAGTGATTACTAGAGAAGGAAAGACTGAGCAGCAGCCAAGTATCCATCAACCACACTCACCAAGTCAAGTCATGTTTGATCTTCTGTGTAACAAAATTACAAGAGAAAAATGCCCTGTTTGTATTTAAGAAGAAAGGTTTCTTTATGAAATATCGATGCAACCTCTAAATAACAATCGATACATATCAAGCCATGAATCGATACTAAAACAAATGAATCGTGTATCGTATCATGCAATGATTGCCGGTGATGCACCGTACGGCGAAATAGATAGAGTATCCCTTAATATACAAGTAGCCAAGAACGTTTAACTAGATTTATTAAAGCCGCCCCCTTGAATTCTCATATTTGATCGGATTATGCTTACAAAAACAATTTACTTTGCACACTCATATATGTGTGTAAATATTTATGCATATGTACTTCAGTATACAGCAATTACGTGTACGTATTATTTTGCAACAATGAAGTTCATCGAATGTGCTCATAACAGCGACGACTCATACTTTAAGAAAAACCGAGTTGAAAATGGTGTGGCTCAACCGGCAATGAGCATAGCTGAGTGTTCGTATGATTGTGGCTGTCCCGGCAATGCTCTATTAGCTAATCCATGTTACCGTAAATAATGGGTATCAAATATCAAAATATTCGTTATGTAAAATCTAGATATCCAGTTAAATTGTTCGCGGAGAAAAGTCCAGATCACGCAAACTGGCTGCCTCACGTAGGTCCTCAAACACCTTTTACGAATTATTTATGATTATACAACCAATTATTCCTTTGAAGCCTTTTAACTGATGGGAGGGCCAAAGAAATTCAATGTGTTATCTTTTTCCTATAACTGTTTGAGATAAGAGAGATTGTTGCCTCAGTTATTATAGTCACATTCATGACCATTTATTGCACAAATATACTGATAAACAGCCTCATATATGACGCCTAACAACTCTTTCCATTTCATGGCTGTTTTTTTGTGCAACATTTATGACTAGATTTTCCAAAATCAGTATTTTTGCCGACGTTGCGGGTTGATTTAGAGTTGAAACATCACAATAAATGTTATGGAAAATTCTTGTCCAAACTTCTCTGTTGATGAAATATACCAATCATACAAACAAAAGTAGTTTACATGAAGACAAAAAAATACAAAACAATAATACAATCTACAATAAAAGCAGAGAATAAAGAATAAAATAAACATAAAACTATTAAAACTGGAACCAAAAGCCTCAACGAGAATAAAGAAGCCGCCCATTATATGTTAACTAAACAACGGCACCGAGGTTTGTACTTGAAATGTGGCTTTAGCAGCAACTGGTATTTTTCAAATGTGGCTTCTCCTACACTCCACTCAGTACTACAAACAACACAACACTAATATGGCATGTCGAATGCGGTGCACTCCTGTTTATTCTCCATTAAACTTCATCATCATCTTTATCATCATAACCATCATCATCATCGCCATCAACATAAAGTCCAGATCATACAAACTCAATGACGGACTGACTGAGTTTGGTTTTACGCCGCTTTTAGCAATATTCCAGCAACATCACGGCGGGGGACACCAGAAATGGGCTTCACACATTGTGCCCATGTGGGGATTCGAACCCGGGTCTTTGGCGTGACGAGCCAACGCTTTAACCATTAAGCTACCCCACCGCCCCAAACTCAATGAAGATATCAGTCATCATTGCAATATATACAATTTATGACAATGTCCTTAGTGTGATATACAAACAGGATCACGTATTATCAGTTCACATCATATACACATGCTCGACGTATTATCATGGCTGGTAAGCATACACAATATGCCAGAACTCACACGTATGATCATGGTTCACCATCACATAACATGTATGTACTCACACCTATTATTATGGCTTGACAGCACACACAATATGTCAGTACTTACACGTATTATCATGGCTCGTCAGAACACATAATATGCCAGTACTCACACGTATTACCATGCTCGTCAGCACACGCAATATGTCAGTACTCACGAGTATTATGATGGTTCGTCAGCACGCACAATAGGCCACTACTCACACGTATTATCATGGTTCACCAGCACATACAATATGTCAGTACTCACATGTATTATCATGGCTCGTCAGCAGACACAATATACCAGTACTCACACGTATTATCATGGTTCACCAGCACATACAATATGTCAGTACTCACATGTATTATCATGGCTCGTCAGCAAACACAATATGCCAGTACTAACACGTATTATTATGGATCGTAAGCATACCCAATATGTCAGAACTCACATGTATTGTCATGGTTTGTCAGCATACACAATATACCAGTATTTACACGTATTACCATGGCTCGTCAGCATACACAATATGTCAGTACTCACACGTATTATCATGGTTCACCAGCACATACAATATGTCAGTACTCACACGTATTATCATGGCTCGTCAGCAGACACAATTTGCCAGTACTCACACGTATTATCACGGTTCACCATCGCATAACATGTATGTACTCACACCTATTATTATGGCTTGTCAGCACACACAATATGTCAGTACTTACACGTATTATCATGGCTCGTCAGCACACACAATATGCCAGAACTCACACGTATTATCATGCTCGTCAGCACACGCAATATGTCAGTGCTCACATGTATTATCATGGTTCACCAGCACATACAATATGCTTGTACTCACGGGTATTAACATGGCTCGGTGGCACATACAATATGCCAGTATTAACACGTATTATCATGGCTCGTTGGCACATACAACATCCAAGTACTCACATGTATTACCATGGCTCGTCAGCAAACACAATATACCAGTATTCACATGTATTATCAAGGCTCGTCAGCATACACAATATGTCAGTACTCACATGTATTACTATGGCTCGTCAGCATACACAATATACCAGTATTCACATGTATTATCATGGCTCGCCAGCAGAGACAATATGCCAGTACTCATACGTATTATCATGGTTCACCAGCACATTTAATATGTCAGTACTCACATGTATTATCATGGTTCACCAGCACATACAATATGTCAGTACTCACATGTATTATCATGGCTCACCAGCACATACAATCTGTCAGTACTCACCAGTATTATCATGGCTCGTCAGAAGACACAATATACCAGTACTCACACGTATTATCATGGTTCACCAGCACATACAATATGTCAGTACTCACATGTATTATCATGGTTCATCAGCACATGTAATATGTCAGTACTCACATGTATTATCATGGCTCGTCAACATACACAATATACCAGTATTCACATGTATTATCATGGCTCGTCAGCATGCACAATATGCCTGTACTCACATGTATTATCATGGTTCACAAGGACATACAATATGTCAGTACTCACACGTATTATCATGGCTCGTCAGCAGACACAATATGCCTGTACTCACACGTGTTATCATGGCTGGTCAGCATACACAATATGCCTGTACTCACACGTGTTATCATGGCTCGTCAGCAGACACAATATGCCTGTACTCACACGTGTTATCATGGCTGGTCAGCATACACAATATGCCAGTACTCACACGTGTTATCATGGCTCGTCAGTAAACACAATATGTCAGTACTCACACGTATTATCATGGCTCGACAGCATACACAATATGCCAGTACTCACACGTATTATCATGGCTGGTCAGCAGACACAGTATGCCAGTACTCACACGTATTGTCATGGCTGGTCAGCATACACAACATGCCAGTACTCACACGTATTATCATGGTTCACCAGCACATAATATGTATGTACTCACGCCTATTATCATGGCTCGTCAGCACATACAATATGCCAGTAGTCACATGTATTATCATGGCTCGTTGGCACATACAATATGTCAGTACTCACAGGTATTATGATTGCTCGTCCGCACACACAATATGCCAGTACTCACACGTATTACCATGGTTCACAGCACATACAATATACCAGTATTCACACGTATTACCATGTTCGTTAACGTACACAATATGCCATTACTCACACGTGTTATCATGGCTGGTCAGCACACACAATATGCCAGTACTCACACGTATTACCTTGGTTCACAGCACATACAATATGCCATTACTCACACCTATTATCATGGCTCTTCAGCATACACAATATGCGAGTACCATGGTTCACCAGCACATACAATATGTCAGTACTCACAAGTATTATCATGGCTCGTCAGCATACACAATATGCCAGTACTCACCCGTATTATCATGGCACGTTGGCACATACAGTATGCCTGTACTCACACGTATTATCATGGTTCACCAGCACATACAACATGTCAGTACTCACACGTATTAACATGGCTTGGTGGCACATACAACATGCCTGGACACAACATCTGGCTCAAGCATCAATGTAACATAGGCATGTTTACGCTAGAAGCGTGATGACCTGTCCACTGAATACATGGGTGATAAGCTCCACTCATTACATGAGTGAAGAGATCAACGGTCACTCAGAACCTGGACAAACATCCTGTTATGATACTGATGTGCTGACTTGTCCACTAAATACATGGCTGAAAAACTTCGAACTCAGTGTTGAACATATCATGTGGTATACTAGAAACTCAGATCAGCCAATAATTTGTCGATATGACTTCCGTCAGTTGAGACAAACAAAGTGTTTACCACGGGAACAATAGGAATATACAGAACTGCTCGGTCAAGAGGTTGTGACCGTTGTCCTAGAAATGCAGCATAAAATGCGCCCGGAATTCAGTGGCAAGGCAGACTTGTCTCGGCGACTCACCACGAGTCATAGAACGCCATAGTTCTCCTCCGCTCTAATTATCTATACGTGTTGTATATATTGTAAAAATGTACTTGTGGTACCCTGTTTCCTTTGACTTGATTATTATGATTAAATCCTCTTCGTTGACTGCCAGCTGATTCCTGTTGTTTCGGCCTTTTTAATCATGTTCCACACCTTGGACATGGACGTGCGGGAGTTGATTTTGGACACATATTTCCTCCATGACCGGAGTTAAGTTTCTTTAAATGTACGTCTTGCCCTGGCATTTGTCATTTTAACGGCATTCAGGTTATGCACAGTTTAAGATAGTGTGGAAAAAAAGAAGGTAATAAGACTCAACATAATTTCAATTCTGAGACTTTGGATAGCTTGGAGCAGATTAAGTTTGCTCTTGAATACAAGAAGTTGGAATACGCCTAGCGTCAATCAGCCCTTTCGGAGGAGTTCTTCCAGCTGGGCATGTTTCTCGTGTGGAAGTTTTGAACACTGGCGACGTCATTGTCCCTTTACCAGCGGACAGCAACGATCATCCACAGCGGGACGCACATCGGGTTGTGGATGACAATACTAGTGAGCACACCAAAGTTAAGTATAGTGTCTTTGATGACGTAGATCAGATCGTGCTGACTCATGATTATTTAAATACGAACAGGGCCATGCCGAAATCAAAGTGAAGAATAGATTAAAGCACAGTGTAAAATTTTGGTGAAATATAGGTTGCTCCAAGTTTGTGCTTGACAGTTAGTGGAGAAGTAAAGGTTATAACATCGTTACCTTCTTAGATGACGGCCTCAGAATACTGTACCACTGATTATATATAATGATCTAAGTAATGTCGGGTATGGTGGATACTGTGTTCAATTTGGTGATGTTCAGTCACATGGTCAGTGGTCTGCTGATGAGGCTAAAGCGAGCTGTACCTATCGAGAGATAAAGGCTGTGTATATGGCTATGCAGAGTATTGTGCCCAACTTGAAATTGCAGCAAGTCAAATGGTTTACAGACACCAAGAATGTTGACATTATAGTATTCAAACGATCCATGAAGAAGCATTTGCAGAACATTGCTTTGAAGATATTCCACTTGTGTATTGAATACCAGATTCACTTAGAATTGCAGTGGTTACCTCGCTCTGAAAACGAGAGAACTGATTACCTCAGTAAAATCATAGACACAGACGGGTGTTTGGGTATTGCTGACTATGTTTTTGAACACCTTAGTTACACATAGGGCCCATAAGACGTACACCTGTTTGCTTCGTATTATAACAACAAAGTCGCCAGGTTTTATTCAAAGTTTTGGAATCCGGGTTCGCGTGGAGTTGATGCATAATTTATTTATTTATATATAATTTAAATGAAATTTGATCACTTGTGTTCAGTGATATTCCTTTCAGTGTTTGATTGTAGCAGAGTAACCCAGAGCAGTGGTAAACAAGTCACAGGCACAGGCCGAAACAACAGGAATCAGCTGGCAGTCAACGAAGAGGATTTAATCATAATAATCAAGTCAAAGGAAACAGGGTACCACAAGTACATTTTTACAATATATACAACACGTATAGATAATTAGAGCGGAGGAGAACTATGGCGTTCTATGACTCGTGGTGAGTCGCCGAGACAAGTCTGCCTTGCCACTGAATTCCGGGCGCATTTTATGCTGCATTTCTAGGACAACGGTCACAACCTCTTGACCGAGCAGTTCTGTATATTCCTATTGTTCCCGTGGTAAACACTTTGTTTGTCTCAACTGACGGAAGTCATATCGACAAATTATTGGCTGATCTGAGTTTCTAGTATACCACATGATATGTTCAACACTGAGTTCGAAGTTTTTCAGCCATGTATATACTGGACAAGTCAGCACATCAGTATCATAACAGGATGTTTGTCCAGGTTCTGAGTGACCGTTGATCTCTTCACTCATGTAATGAGTGGAGCTTATCACCCATGTATTCAGTGGACAGGTCATCACGCTTCTAGCGTAAACATGCCTATGTTACATTGATGCTTGAGCCAGATGTTGTGTCCAGGCATGTTGTATGTGCCACCAAGCCATGTTAATACGAAAAAGCTCGCGCCTGTAAAATATCAACAAAAAATTAGAAAAATAGCTCACATTAAAGCCTTCACCGAGTACTCACCGCCAGCGAAGGTTTTCCGTCTTGAAATGTTGGTTGATACATATGGGATTGGAGATAGATATCTATCAATACAGAAGTAACCATGCACCAAAAGGAAGAAGAAAACAGAGACGGTTTTGGGTACGTCCGTGGTTGAGGTTGGAAAGAAGATTGAAATTTGGAAACTATGACAATCTCCTATCTGAACTCAGATTCGAAGACACGTCTTCTTTTTTTCAACTATCTGCGAATGCCTCCTGATATGTTTGTTGAACTGTTTAATTCCCTGTCTCCCAGGCTTACCCAAAAAGACACCAACTTCAGGAAAGCTCTGCAACCTGGTCTGAAGGCCCCTAGCCTCTGGGGACAAGTACACTTCCTTCTCCTACCACTTCAGAGTGTCAAAACACACCATAACCATCTTTCTCCCAGAGGTGCGCCAAGCCATCGTATACCACTACAAGGATACAGTAATTGCATGTCCTGTCACTCAAGGGGATTGGAAGACTGGAATTCGAGCAGAGATGGAATCTCCCTCATGCTGTTGGTGCCCTCGGTGGAAAACACATCGCGATTCGTAAGCCAACTGGTAGTGGAAGCCTCTGCCACAACTCTACCTGTTTTTTTCCATTGTCCTGTTGGCCCTTGTAGATGCTAATTACAGATTTCTATGAGTGGACGTCAGAGGCCTGGGTGATATGTCAGATGCACAAATCTTCAATGCCTCAGAGTTGAAGGAGTGTATATAAGATGGCAGCATATGCTTGCCCAACTCTGAACCATTGTCAAATGATGATCTGGATATGCCTTACTTCATACTTGCAGATGATGCATTTGCCCTTCGTCAATATCTAATGAAACCCTACTCAAGAAGAGTCTGTCAGAAGCTGAACTGACTGCCAACTACAGGATCTCTAGAGCAAGGAGAGTCGTGGAGAACGCCATTGGTATTCCTGCAAACCGATGGCAATTTCTTCTCCACACGCCGCAACATTATACGATCGCTGGCGATTTAAAAAAAAAATGCAATCGGGATCGATCGCAGCCCAGTGAAATGGGGGTATAATGACAGCTCTGTAATCTTAGTATGGGGTAGATTTGTTGAGGGCTGCCTTGGCAGCATAATCAGCTATTGTGTTACCAAAGATTCCAACATGGCTGGGTAACCAACAGAGGACGATGTCGCATTGGCTAGTAGCAAGATCAAAATTCAATTATTTCAATTAAAAGTGGATGTTTACTGGATAAGTGTTTAATAGCCTGAAAGCAAGAGAGGGAGTCCGAAACTATTATATGTGTGTTTATATTTGGGGTGTTTTTCTATACATTTTTAGACCTGTTAATACGCGTACGGCGGCTGCTTCTGCTGTTAAAAGTGAACTATTAGTGGGTAACCTAGAAGAATTTGTTCTGGAGCCACTGACTGTGGCACATGCAACTGTGCCACCATCTTTGGATCATCTGTAAATAGAGATTTGTATGAATTATATTATTTCTTAGCGGATGATTCTTTTGTCTTTAAGTAATTCATTAGTTTCTGATTTCTTGAAAGTGCTCAGTGTTGGGTCTACATGTGGTCCCACCAACTGCCAAGGAGGAGAAGAAAGCAGGCGGAAATGAGATGTGTTTTCTAGCATGTGAGCAGCAGACACGAAAGGTTTGACTCTTATTCGTACAGGCGGAACAAGAGAAGACTTCTTGTTGTACAGATCCTTTTTAAGAGGATTCAAAACACAGTTGAATGCAGGGTTGGATTCATTAGAATATATAAGTGTGATATGATGTAAAAGATAATTCGATACGGCGATGTTCTAAATATGGCTCATCGGCCTCGACGTAAAGACTGTCAACATGAGAGGTTCTGAAAGTTCAAAGACAAAGTCTTAGACCTTGCGGATGGACAGAATCAAGTAGTTTTAGGTTGCTGTTACAGGCCCCACCATATACGACGGAGCTGTAATCAAGTTTGGATCGAGCCAGTGATCTATAGAAGTGTAGAAGTGTAATTTGGTCCCCTCCCCACTTTGAATTGGAAACGACTTTCATGAAATCGAGTACCTTCAGGCATTTGGCTATAAGGTAAGGTATATGCGACAAAAGGTTAAATGTGCGTCGAAAATTAGACCCAAGGTCTAATTTTGATTCAAATAACGATGAGATTACAATGAAATGTTTTCATTACAGTGGGGTGCTTTCATTGGCCACGTTGGCCGCCTTTACAACTTTGATGGGGGTGCCATTTAAAAAAACGCTCTGGGTCTTTATTCGGTTTATATTTCCTGCAAACATGGATACAGTTGGTTTTC